ATCACAATTCCCCCGTGAAAATTTATAACACTCAATTGATTGATACTATTAAGAGTAAATAATCATAAAAGGAAAGAAAGTGCCTAACTGCCCTGCAGTAGCTGAAACAACACCGTGTAGTCTTAAGTCACGTAAGACCAGAAGCATAGGTGCACCTACTGAAAACACATGTAGAAGTATTGCATGGAGAACGTTTGAAGAATCTGTAGACATCATACTAAGAAACTTTGAATTTCTACCGAAGTCTGAGTGGTCCACCATTGCAGAAAATCCAAAACGGCCAGAAAATCTTGTTGAGCAACCATTTTCTGCTCAAAGATTCACAAGGAAATACTACACAGTGATGTATCAGCTACATGTACTATAGGGCAGTTAGACACTCCCTAGGGAATTGTATCTACTCTTGTTATTTTGCTACTTTCCTTAGTAACAAGTAGAAAAAAGGAAGGACCAAACTAAAGAAGACAGAAGTGCTAATGTGTGGGTGCTTCCCGCCCATATTACTCACTCATCACGGACTCTTACAAGACAATATGAATTAACGGACTCCACGTTTGGCAAATTTATCATTAATAATCAACTAATTGTCAAAATTAAACTTTCTGAATTTTTCCCACTATGCAGTACTTTTATCGAAAAAGATCCCCATTCCATAAGTCTGATAAAATTAAGGCAGTTTCACAAAGATCCCCATTCCATAAGTCTGATAAAATTAAGGCAGTTTCACAAATCTCCCTATACACATCGTAAATGCTGAATAATCAACAATGAAAATTTTCACAGACTAACAATTTCTCGTTTTTACAGAGAATAAAATTAATTAGTCACGATTTAATTTCCCAGGGGCTAATTTTACAAATAGTGTCAGACTGCATAATAAAAAACACAATAAAACATTAGCAGGTACATGTATACCTAACCAGTATCATTTACCATTCAATAGATGAACCAGATTCAAGCCAAACAAGGCAGTAGCATTGTTACGACTGATGATCTTCAATATCCTTCAGCAAACACTGCCTAATGTATAAAAACATTATAAATTCATGTATGTATAATACATAATATAGTACATGACATGTATGTATTAATCAGGCTAAACTCCCTATACTATAGTACAGGGTCTCTGGCCAAATTTCGCCCAAAAAATTAGAATAGATTTCTCAATTATAATATTTTTTTCTAATACATATACATGTTCTTATGCTGTATAACAAGTTTGAGTTAATTCCGATCAAAATTAGATTTTTTTATGAATTTTAAAAGTTACTCAAAAATCGGAACAAAGTCCCTGTACTATAGTACAGTGTCTTTGGCCAAATTTCACCAAAAATGACTAGGAAAAAATTCTTAATTTTTATAATTTTTTCTGATACATATACATGTTTTTATGCCATGTAGCAAATTTGAGCTGATTCCAATGACATTAAATTTTTTTACAAATTTAAAAAGTTACTCAAAAAGCACTAAATTGTAGTGCTTGTCAACTCATGAAGGATGCTGTTTTAGCTCACTTAGCATGCTTCGTGGGAAACCCTGACAGTACCATACATGATACAATAACTGTTGCAATTCAAAACAACAACAACACCCTACGTAAATATGACAAATATGGCAAAAAGAGTTCTAAAAATAATAAAGATTACTCATGCACGTGAAGTTGTGAACATACATGTACATGTACATTCCAAGGAAAATCAATTATAGCCAGAGACTTTATGTTATAATTTATTTCACCAAAAATAAATATTATTAAACTTTCTAATGCACATTCCATTTCTGACAGCTAATTGATTTATTTTGAGGATATGGCCATCTACTGGGCAGCACTGAGAGAGTAGGAAAAAACTTGATAAAAACAACTTAAAATTTCAGTGTACAACAGAATGGCCAGTACTTAAATTTAGGCTATAACTAAACATACAAGTAACTAATTCAAGTGAAACAATTCAAGTTAACGGAGAGCTATTATTAATAAACTTAACTCATGGCATGGGGCATATATTCAATTTCACGGAATTTTGTGAGTGATTTTACCCACAAAAATTTAATGCCTTGAAAATACTCACTAAAATACCTAATTTAAACTACAAAATAACTTAAAATACTAATAATCCGCCACACTAGATTAGGTAATCAGGGCCATGAACTCAACCACAAGAGCACGTGGCATGGATGTGTATAACTACTCAATAGCGAACGGGTATACTTAAACACAACTCACTTGGCCGACAATGTTTTTACATTTCTGGTCTTAGAAAACCGAGACGACAATTGCTGCTTCTCCAAATGTCTGAGTCTCTCTCCTTCTCCAGTCCTCGCTCCGAGGTTCTAGCGTGAAGGTGGTGGGTGTGGTTTATTTAGATACCTTAATTAATAAATAATTAATTAATTAATAATTAATTAATTGATTGACCTACCTTCCAGAAATGAAGTATGGCTAGTGATCTAAAGACATGTAAGTTAGCACTTTACAGCTTCTAATTTACTTTAATTTGTTTACAGATATTAGGATTAGGTCTAAAGCTCAGGCTAAATGGCTTAGGTTTCATGGTTACTTTTGCGGCGGGCCCAGCCTTAAAGCAATAGTCACTCCATGGTGTCCTTTCATACCACAAGATGCCCCACCTCCACACTCAGTACCTTACATGCAAATGCACTTGATGAAAGAGTCCAGGAGTGATACTATTGATGGCATATATCAGATATACAAGGATAGAGATAAACTTGAAGTTCTTTTTATTATTGCTAGAGAGGAGCAACAGCAGCCATTCTCACCTCCAGACCTTCGTTTTAGGATTATATACATTTCAAGGAGACATAAGAAAGATGTACTGGAACTGGCAGAGAAAGGACATGATCTCGAAGCTACACTTAATATCACTGAGTCTAAAAGTGAACGTAGGTGCTCAATTTTGTTTTTCTTTATTTTCATTATAATGTATGTATATAGTTGGTGAAGCTTTATTTCCTAAAGAGTCAGGGATATATACTGCTTTACTTCATGCTGTGCATTATGTTATTGAGAACCGTGTTATTGTGTCATTGGCTTCAGGAATTCCTGAGATTTGTCCCGACGATAAGAGACTCCTTTCTTATCTTTTGAAATGTCTTAATTATCAGTATATAGAGGTACACA